GCAGACACAGACGCAGACGCAGACGCACATCGCAAGTTGTGAAAAGTGACAGGGAAGAGTTACAACACACCTTCGCCACAGCCGGATGCCTCCTAAGCATCAGCTGCACCAGAGCCCACACCACCAGCAGATGTGCACATGCGTGCACTGTCACACGTAGACGCACAGGCACACGCGCACGCACACACACGCACCTTCGCCAGAGCCGCATGCCTCGTGAGCATCAGCTGCACCAGCGCCCACACCACCAGCACATCGCACCCTCCTCTCGCCCCTCCCTCCTCCCTGCCACCCCTCCGCGCCTCACTACCAGCTGCTGCTGTGAAAGAGGCGGCACAAACGACTTGAGAGAGAGAGGTGGCGCGAGAACAGCGCGCGCTGCTTGCAGGTAGAGCGGGTGGAGGGGGGATGAAGAGGCGAGGGACGGGGGGATGAGGGCGAGGAGGGAGAGGGCCAGGGGCACGAGGCCCCCAGGAAAGAAGGTGGGTTGGGGCGTGGACTTCGCAGATTCTCCCTGGTGGTGGTGGTGCTGCTGCTGCTGCTGCTGCTGCTGCTCCCTGTGCTGGGATGTGCTGGCGGGCCCTCCTGTGGCCTGCACAATTGCTGACAGCCAGAACGACACCTGCAGCAGCCAAGGGGGGTGAGGAGAGAAAGGGCAACGGGAATGGGGAACAGAAAGAAAAGGTTAGAACGAAGCTTGCAAGTGTAAGAGCTAAGCTCGCAAGCGTTAGAGCGAAGGTCGCAAACGTAGTTGGGGAGGTCGCAAGCGTAAGAGCGAAGGTCGCAAGCGTAAGAGCGAAGGTCGCAAGCGTAAGTGCGAGGGTTGCAAGCGTAAGAGCGAAGGTCGCAAGCGTAAGAGGGGAGGTCGCAAGCGTAAGAGCGAAGGTCGCAAGCGTAAGAGCGAAGGTTGCAAGCGTAAGTGCGAGGGTCGCAAGCGTAAGAGGGGAGGTCGCAAGCGTAAGAGGGGAGGTCGCAAGCGTAAGAGCGAAGGTCGCAAGCATAAGAGGGGAGATCGCAAGCGTAAGAGGGGAGGTCGCAAGCGTAAGAGAGAAGGTCGCAAGCGTAGGAGCGAAGGTCGCAAGCGTAAGAGTGAAGCTCGCAAGTGTAAGAGTGAAGCTCGCAGGGGACTAAAGGGAGGTGAAAATCAAGTGTGGCTCTCTATGCACGTCACCACCCCTCAGCTGCCCCATACCGCCCTACCACCCAACCACCACTCATTCCCCGTGTGTTAAACAAAACCAGGTTTCCAGACGCCCATGAGCCCGCCACCATCCCGCCACCCACCTCTCTCGCTGCCAGGCTGTCAGGCCCCGCACCCTCCAGCTGCACCACGCCGCACCCGCACAACAGACAAAACAGCCGCACGTGCCCCGACAGCTCTGCCGACCATCTCCCCGCCACTTGCCGGCCTTCCTTCAACCCCTGTGCCTTGGCGTTGGCCTCCATTCCCCTGTCTCGGCCAGTATCACCACCCTCCTCCTTCCCTACAGCCCCCTTCCTGGCCTTATCTCCCCGCCATCTCCCCCTTGTACCCTCTAACCTCTCATCTTCCCCAGCCGGCCCTCCCTCCTCAACCTCACCCCGCCTCACACCCAGCCCTACTCTCTCCGCCTCTGCCTCTGCCGCTGCCAGCAACGCCACCCTGGCGCGCCACATGGCGCATTCTGATTGGCTCTCAGCAGCATTTTGCAGCAGGACTGCCTTCACAGGAGCAGCTGCCTCACCCTCATCTGCTCTCCTCCCCTCTGAATCCCCTTGCTCCTTGATCCCTCCTCCTTGTGCGCGCCCGCCTTCTGCTCCTGCAGCGGTACTTGATTGTGACAAAACATTATCCTCACGATGTGGCACCAATGGGCTCCAAGTCACCTTTGAAGAAAAGAACTCTCGCGGATCAAACGCACTGAGGCAAGGAAACGAGGCAGCAGGGAGGTTTCTCCTGGGGATAGAATCCTCCTCCCTTTCTCTCTCCCCTTCCCTCTCTTGCTGCTGATCTGCCTTTCTCTTTGCTGCAACCCCCGCCTCATCGCGGCCTCTCCCCTCCACTTCATCTCTCCGTTCTCCTTCTCCCCTACCCCCCCCTTGCCAGCCTGTAGGGCGCTATGAGGAAGCTCCAGCAGCAGCTTCTGGCCAATAGGGGATCGGCTAGAGAAGCAGGTAGGGCAGAGAGGAAGAACGCCAGCTCATCGCCGATCAGATCCACCGTGATCTGCACCGCCAACTCAGCAAGCACGCGCTGACTCAGCAACGCGGCCCGGCAGGCCCTGGGAACGGCAAGAGGGTCTTCCAGCACCGGGGGGGTTGTAGCTGCGGCTGTAGCTGTGCTTGTTGACGTGGCAGCAGTAGCAACGGCCAGCTGGCAGATGCGAACCAAGGCAAGGGAAGCTGCACGGAAGGTGCAGGAAGCCCAACTTGTAGCAGCACCAGTGGGGGAGATGGTGGGAGTAGTGGTGAGGCGAGAATTGGTGGGGGGAATGGAGGGAGGAGGGTGCAGTGAGGATGGAGGGGGGGGATGGTGGGGAGCGTGACCATATGAGCCGTGGGTCTGCTTTTGACCATATGAGCCGTGGGTGGGACGAGTAGAGGGACCCCTCTGCTGCTCAGCTTGCCTCTGTGGCAGCGGGGGTGGCTTGGAGGAGAAGCCTCGGGGGAAGACAAACGCATGGGGTCGTTTCGGTGCTCCAGGTCCAGAAACAGACACCCGTTGCAGGCCAGCCGCACCAGCGTCACCAGCACTGGCGGCAGAACCACCGGCAGCAGCGGCGCCACCCTTTCTGCCTGCCCCTGTAGGCAAAGGAACATTCCTAGGTGCAGCAGACGCATCACCAGCAGCACCACTCGTTGCAGCAGCACCCAATTTTGTGGGATCAGGCTGGATGTTAGGTTGAAGGGAGGGGGAGAAGGCGGAGGGGGAGGAGGCGGAGGGGGAGATGGGAGTAGAGGTTCGGGCCAGGACTCGAGTGATAAGTTTAATCGCAGAGGCTCGGAATTGCTGGGACGTTTGGACCACCAGACCTGCGATCAGGCTCGGGCCGTGCCTGGAAGCAAGCAATCCGAGAACAGCCAGACCTGTTGGAAAGAATGGGTGGGAGGCAGGGTCAAGACTGGGGTTGGTTGGGGGAGCCTGGGAAGAGAGATGGGGGGGGACAAGAGGATGGAATAGTCATCCAATAAAAGATGCGAGAGAACGTTCACTAGTGTTGTATGACTTGTTTGCTGGCTGGGCTGGGCTATTTGACCTGGCGGCACGAGAGCAGGGCACTTGAGCGCCAGAGCCGGCAGCAGGCAGAGCAGCTCAGGGACAAACACGCCATCGTCAAACAACCTCCTCTCCTCCTCCTCCTCCTCCTCCTCCTCCTCCTCCTCCCAGTCCTCATTGTCTCCATCCTCTTCCTCCTCGTATCCTAGCTCTTCCCCACCGTCCTTCCTGTCGTCCCCCTCCCCCTCCTCATCCGCCTCATCTTCCTCCTCTGCCTCATCCCCCCCTGCATTCCCCCAATCCCCCCGACCCCCCCATCCCCCCCTAACCACTCGTGAGGCAGAGCCCATCAATTCCTCCTCCGAACCCCCCAGCCCCCACTTCCCCAACCCTCCTCTGTTTCTCTTCCTTCTCCTCCCACTCCCCAAGGTTCCCCACGCATCCCCCTCTTCCCCCCTCCGCCTTCCACTCCTCCTGCTCCCCCCACTGCCTCTGCTCGTCTCCCATGCATGTGGGCAAAGAAGCGCACAGTGCACCGCCGCAGAAAGTAGACAGCCAATGCGGACCGTTGCACCTGGGTGCGAAAGGAGAGGCAGAATCAGGTCATTGGTTGGAAAGATCGTTGCAGGACACGTTGGACACGCAGTCAGCGCTATACCGCTCGCTCTATCTACTTCAGGCATTGTCAGGCATTGTCAGGCATCACAACTTTGGCCACGTGCAATACTACAGGTGCAATATAAATCGCCCTAACCAGCCAGATGCTTGCTTTTTGGCACTCATTCAAGCATCTCAGCGGCGTTCCCACCAGCATCTTCTTTCCTTTTTTCCGTGTGGAGGCCCGTTCAATTCAAAGCCACCCAACCAAGATTGGGGGAAAAGAGACACAAGTGTGTGACCCAAAAACCATCTCAGCTCGCTGCGATGCCTATGTCAAACATCGCATAGTTTTGAGGCGCCTCAAAACCAAACATCGCACCCTAATAATCCACCTTCAGGCAATGCCAGCAGTCTGCCGATTTGGGGAAAGAAAGGGCTCTCAACTCACTTCGTTACCCATTTCAAACATCTCCGCTGCATCCAACCGACCATCACCCCTTTCCCTTCTCCCCCCCTCCTCCCCCTCTTTCTCTCCCTCCTCTTCCTCCTCTTTCACCACCCCTTTTCCCCCCGTTTCCCCCCTATCCTCAGCTCCGCTCCGCTTCCGCCGCTTCCGCGCGCGTATCCCCCCACCCTGCCATCCCTGCCAGCCCGCGCGAAGCTTCCGCCGACCCCGCTGCATTCTCGCGAGCCTCCTAATCTCCGCCTCGACAGCGGGGGGTTCCAGCAGCGCCACGTATTCCGCTAGTCGCGGGGCGAGCTGCGGGTTAAGGACTGGCCGAGGCGCGGGGTCGTATCGCACGCCATTTGAATTCGACGGCTTGCTAGTAGGGTTGTTGGGTAATAGAGGAAAGGGCGAGAAAGCAAAGGAGAGAACGGAGCGAAGGCAGCTGATCAGGGTCGGATGTCGCTACGCGCGGTGCAGTGCATTTGAGCCTGGGAACGGTCTACATAGTCAGTTACCCCATAACCTTACGAGCCGCATCTATTGTCATGATCAGTGATCAATGGTGATCGGGGAGATGGCGGGGGATTGAAGACTCGACTCGGTGGTGCTGGGGGCTGCCCTGGGCTCAGGCATGATGAGCAATCCTCGCTACAGAATGAGTCGAAGCCTCTACAGAAGAAGAGTACACGCTGAACGGTTCTTTTCGCAACCGCAAGCATTTATTTACCCACATTGCATTTCGCCCGTTTCGTGTGGGCGAACTGGCCTTTCCCCGTGTCAGTCTGACGCCCTCAGCTGCTGCTTTGGCATTCCCCATGTCACGCTTTCATGGGAGGGGGGTTCCACCCACCCACCCCACACCCCCACGCCCTCCCAACTCTCGCATAACGTACATGCCACACCAAACAGAGAGGCGGCAGACACAGACTATCTCAAGGCTTTCTGAAGCCAAGCCCAAGCGCCAAACACGGCCAGTGTTGTCGAATTCGCTCCGAACTCTTGACTATCAAAGCATAGCAGGGCTCTGTATAGGCTGCCAGAACATATAGCCGTAACGCCTTAGCTATCCGCCATCAGCAGTCCTCATAATGTCTCACCATAGGCTCTCCCCGCCTCGCGCTGATCCAATTCACGATCCCTCGGTCTCTCCTCGAACTCCTCGCGTGCTGCTCGTCGGCAATCTCTGTCATGACGTCATCACGTTGAAGTCCGGGAAAACGGTCGAGGCGCTAGGCGGCTCCGTCGCGTACATCTCGCGCGTGCTCGACGCCGTCGGCATGTCTTCGCGATCCGTCGCGAAAGTCGGCTCTGATTTCAAGTACTGGGATGCACTAGGCCCGAATTGCCGGCCGGTATTGGTGGAAGGGAACGAGTCGGAGAGAGGGGGGTCAAACGGGGGAGGATCAGTGGCAGCGAAGACAACTGAATTTTTCGCGGATTTCACAGGTGAGAGGCTGCCATGGCTCAGCCGTTTTGACGACGCGCGTATTGCGTCGCTCTCTTCAAGAAACGCCCAACTTTCCGCATGTTCTCGTCGTCCTCCATCCGCCCCTTACTTTGTCTTCATCTCCCTGTCCCATTACCACATGGCTGATGCTTCAGGTTCTGACCGGGTGCTGACAGCGGGACACGTGTGTGAAGCCATAGGAGCAGCAGATCTGCCCTCCTTCCCATGCTCGTGTTCTTGCCCGTGTGGATGCCAAAGTGAGCATTCACTGGGAAATCCATTGCCGAATTCTCGTCCTGATAGCTCCACTCCAGCTGATGCTGCTGCTATTCCCGCTGCGGAGGATTGTGACAATAAGAGGTGTGATTCATCAAGCCCGGGTGGTGATTGCAGTGGAGGGAGCTGCTCTCACATGCCAATGTTCGATGTCGGGGTGGCTGCTGGCGTGGCAGGGGAGGTTCAGCCATCCACAGTGCGACACATTGCAGAGATTTCACGCCACACAGTGGCTGATCTACAGGTACCGTTGGGGTATGACGGAACATAGGACTGAGGGATTTCGTGATCACATTCTGTGCATTCACGTCTTTGCTCTTGATCACCTCTCCTTTCTCTGCCCTTTTACCCCTCCCCTCTCAGTCAATGGTGCGTCACATTGACCCTGTAACAGGGGCTGTTGAGTTGCAGCATCTTGAGAAGACTGCGTTTATGGGCCTCATTCCGCGAATATCGTTCCTTAAGGTGCTGCTGCATCCCTCTGCATCCCCTGTTGACGCCATTTATGCCAAAGCAAGCTTACAGCGTTGCACCGTATGCACCTTATCACCTTTGCATCACCTTTATTTCTCCACTTCCTCGTGGCCTGCGTTTCACCAGGTTGCCAGTCATGAAGCTGCCTTCCTGGATATTGAGAGGTGTGCTCGACTGCTTGGCACAGCCCAGGCGACAAGTGCAGTGGGGCAGTGCAACGGTAGTAGAGCAGATGCGATAGGAGGAGCTGTGCTGCTGACTCGGGCTGAAAAGGGGTGTACAGTCGTCACAAGGTAGGGGAAAACAGTGGCATATTATGCAGTAGAAATTGTTACTTGGTAAGCTACATCTGCTTTTTGACAAAAGCATTTTCTAGCACCTGTATTCCAAGCCATCATCTCGTGGGCGTTTCTTTCCCCTCTTCCTACATATTTCAGGGACAGGGAGTTCGTGGTCCCGTCTTTCCCTGCAGTGGAATTGGATTCCACAGGTGCAGGCGACTCTTTTATGGCAGGCTTCATCATTGGCCTATGCTTGAATAGGTCATTAGAGGAGGCAGTGCAAATGGGCTCTTTCTTTGGAGGAGTAGCTGTAGAGCAAGTCGGTGTGCCAATCATAACACCCCAAATTGGTTCTAGGTGGCAAGCAACGTTCAATGTATAATTCGTCAATGCAATTCAGGTGGAATATATTTTTCTGCATGATGTGATGTGTATGTGTTATGGCAACTGTTATGACGGTAAGACCCTATTGTGTGACTATACCTCAAGGTTACTGGAAGCTTCAGCTAGACCCAGAATCTCCCACATTTCTTGAGAACGCGACGCTTATGTGGAGGTCACTCGCTGTTGTGAACATTCAAATCGGACGGTGTAAAGCGCGTGCGGCCTCTCGTACTTTCCAGAGTGAACTTTCGACGGCCATCTGTGCCTGCGGCGCCACGATCTGCTGGAAGCATCTAGAAAGTTTCGCAACGGGCGAACAGGAGAGAGGAGAGGAGTGGAGTGGAGGAGCGAGACCCTCCAGCCAGCGGATTGGGAGTGCCATTTGCCAAGCTAAATTCTCTTCCCCCCCCTGACCCTCACACCAGCAGACATCTCAAACTTACATAGAGCAAAATTCTCCATTGTTTTCATCAGATCTCAGTTTGCAGTTGAGGATTTTGCCTATTCCTCAGCTACCTTCCTAGGCTTCTCTCGGACGCACCTCCCCAACTCTTGCTTACACTCCCATCCAGCATGGCTGCGAAGGGAGACGGTCCCGCTATCGGTATCGATCTCGGTACCACGTACAGCTGCGTCGGCGTGTGGCAGCATGATCGCGTGGAGATCATCGCCAACGACCAGGGTAACCGTACCACGCCGTCCTATGTCGCCTTCACCGACACCGAGCGCCTCATTGGCGATGCTGCGAAGAATCAAGTCGCGATGAACCCCATTAACACTGTCTTCGGTAAGTCTTCCGACTTCCCACGCTTCGTTGACGAATGCTTTGCACTGACATGATACTCGCAATGACTGCTTGATTTCTAACTACTTGATTGACTGAACTTCTGATTACCTGAGCAGATGCGAAGCGTTTGATCGGCCGTCGCTTCTCAGACGCTCCCGTCCAGAGTGACATCAAGCTCTGGCCGTTCAAGGTTATCGCAGGCCCCGGCGAGAAGCCCATGATTGAGGTCCAATACAAGGGTGAGACGAAGCAGTTCGCCGCTGAGGAGATCTCGTCCATGGTGCTCATCAAGATGAAGGAGATCGCCGAGGCGTACCTCGGAACCACCGTGAAGAACGGTGTTGTCACCGTCCCCGCATACTTCAACGACTCGCAACGACAAGCCACCAAGGACGCCGGCGTCATCGCTGGGCTGAACGTGCTCCGTATCATCAACGAGCCCACCGCGGCTGCTATCGCGTACGGACTCGATAAGAAGGCCACCAGCTCCGGTGAGAAGAACGTGCTTATCTTCGATCTCGGCGGGGGAACCTTCGATGTGTCGCTGCTTACCATTGAGGAGGGTATCTTCGAGGTGAAGGCGACCGCTGGCGACACTCACTTGGGCGGTGAGGACTTCGACAACCGGCTGGTGAACCACTTCGTGCAGGAGTTCAAGCGCAAGTACAAAAAGGACATCACCAACAACCCCAGGGCCCTCCGTCGCCTCCGCACGGCCTGCGAGCGCGCCAAGAGAACGCTGTCGTCGACTGCTCAGACGACGATCGAGATTGACTCTCTGTACGAGGGTATTGACTTCTACTCCACCATCACCCGCGCCAGATTTGAGGAGCTCAACATGGACATGTTCCGCAAGGTTAGTCGCTCCTCCAATTTCCCTTATCCTTTCTATTGTATATTGTAGGCTGTGCGTTTTCTCTAGTTGAGCTTGTGATATTTTATGTTCTTTTGTTTCTTAGTGACCAATGTTCCAATTCTGTTTCCTTTCTGTTGTCCCTCTGTTCTATCTGCAGTGCATGGAGCCGGTGGAGAAGTGCATCAAGGACGCCAAGATGGACAAGGGGCAGATCCACGACGTCGTGCTCGTCGGCGGCTCTACCCGTATCCCCAAGGTGCAGCAGCTGCTGCAGGACTTTTTCAACGGGAAGGAGCTCTGCAAGAGCATCAACCCCGACGAGGCCGTCGCGTACGGTGCGGCTGTCCAGGCCGCCATTCTCAGCGGTGAGGGCAACGAGAAGGTGCAGGATCTGCTGCTGCTCGACGTCACCCCTCTCTCCCTGGGTCTGGAGACCGCCGGCGGTGTCATGACCGTGATCATCCCCAGGAATACCACCATTCCTACCAAGAAGGAGCAGGTGTTTTCGACCTTCTCCGACAACCAGCCCGGTGTGCTGATCCAGGTGTTTGAGGGTGAGCGCGCCAAGACCCGCGACAACCATCTTCTCGGCAAGTTCGAGCTGTCCGGCATCCCCCCCGCTCCTCGCGGCGTCCCCCAGATTACCGTCTGCTTCGACATTGACGCTAACGGTATCCTGAACGTCAGCGCCGAGGACAAGACTACCGGCCAGAAGAACAAGATTACCATCACGAATGACAAGGGCCGTCTGTCTAAGGACGAGATCGAGAAGATGGTGCAGGACGCTGAGAGGTATAAGGAGGACGACGAGCAGCACAAGAAGAAGGTGGAGGCGAAGAACTCGCTGGAGAACTACGCCTACAACATGCGCAACACCATCAAGGACGACAAGATCGCCTCCAAGCTGGAAGCCGACGACAGGAAGAAGATCGAGGACGCGGTGCAGGGGACCATCGACTGGCTGGACCAGAACCAGCTGGCGGAGGTGGACGAGTTCGAAGACAAGATGAAGGAGCTCGAGGGCATCTGCAACCCCATCATCGCCCGCATGTACCAGGGCGCGGGCGGCGCTCCTCCTGATGCGGACATGGATGGCGCTGGCGCCGGATTTGGCGGCGGTGCTTCCGGTGGCGGTGGCTCTGCTGGCCCCAAGATCGAGGAGGTCGACTAATTTGATGAAGCTGGTTGATTGTAGTGTGTAAACCTAGTTGAAATCCAACAATTTTGCAATTTCACTACCCAAGCAGTTGGTGAAAGGCCCTTATCCTTTTGATAGCATATGGTTGCCCAAGCCTGGTCTAGTCAGTAGCTTGACAGGGCGAACATGCTGCTTGACTCTAGGTGTGCGCCTGGATTTCGACCTTATGTAGATCACGGTGGCTAGGATTGTACTTCCAAGATAACATGAAGTGATGGTTACTGCCTGAAGAAGACCCCTGCTAGTCACCATCAAAGCTAATGCAATCCCTTCCTGAGGTAACATTAGACACCTCAGCTGAATACAGTTCAATCTCGTTCATATGCACAGAACTCTCCCCTTAGCATGAGATTGTCGCCTTCCAAGCGTGTTACTTGATCTTGAAGGGAAGACACCTGTGCCTCTAAAGAGGAAATCCTCTGGTCCTTCGCCTGCAGCTCCACCTGGCAGTTCATTCTGCAACAGCGTTAAGCACGGCAGGACAGATGGGCGAACACCAGGTGGAGTTGAACCCACAGGGAGGAGAAATACAACGAAGTAAAATGGCGAGAAAAAGCTGGAGAACAGTTTCTTCGGCCACTAAGGCTAGTGCATCAGAACATGTGTGGGAAACGGATTGAGTGAGCAGCTTACAGTTGGGTCATGGCTCGCTCAAACCGCAGCTGCAGCCGCAGCAGCGCCTGCAGCTCTTGCGAGGAAGACTCTTCCCTTGCCGTCCCACCATCCACAGGCCAGCCCCACCGAAAGACCCTCCAGATCTCCTCCTTTGGCCTCAACCCGCCTCCGCTCCTCCCGTTTCTCCCGCTATCACCACCTGCACATGATGCTACCACCGCCTGCGCTGCACCTGAACCTCTTCCTCTGCTACTTAGTCTCCCTGCTTCGGCTCCTCTCTCCACCGCTCCCAGCCTGCACGCCCCTCCCATTCCCTGACCACTCCTCTCTGCCCTGTTGACAATCTGTGCGTCCTTGTCCCTGCATCTCCCCTGGAGGGTCCTTTTACAACGTGATCCCTCACTTCCTTCCTCCCCCCTCCTTCCCCGCCCTCCTCTCCATCCACTCCCCCTCCCCTTGCTTCCCCTCCTCCTCGCCTCTCTCGTCCCATTTCCATGCCTGATGCGTTGGACTGCCCAGCATGCCATCTCAATGCAGCAGAGGGCTCGGCACGTAACACACCTTCTGACACGCCCTGGGATGGCGAGAGCTCGGTCCAGGTGAGCATGGGCGGCATGACGGTATTGGTAGGAGAGGATGGCAGAGATGCAAACCCGGTTGAGTATCTCAAACTCGGAAGCCCGGAAGCGGTTGCAGTCACACTATCGGAATGTACGGCAGAGATGGCGGCTGCTGTGGATGATGTGGTTACAAGTGAATGCTCTGAAGGCAGTCTGGGGGGAGAGGACTTTTGAGTTGGCTCAAAAGAGATGGCCGCTGCTGTGGATGCTCCGGTGACAAGGCCTGCTGATGGCAGCCCGGGGGGAAGAGGCTGTGGCAGAAATGGCTCCGCTGCTGCTGGCTCACTTGCCAAATCTCCTGCTGGCAAAGCCTCTGCTGGTGCAGAGTCTGTTTGCCATACATCCACAGGCAATTCGCCCTGCACATGATCTCTGCACTGGCGCATAGCAGAGGAACCGGTGCCAACAGCCTTGGCTCCCCTCCCATCAGCTCCTGAACCTGCGCCCTCTGCTGCCTCACACGGTTGTTTCCTCCCCTCTCCCCCTCCCCCAATCCCTCTCTCTCCACATCCCCCTCCCCCTCCCCTGCCACTCCCTGTTCCCCAGTCAACTCATCATCCTGTAAAGCAGAAAACTCCCTTTCATGTCCCTCTGTGGCCTCTTCTTCTTCCTCCTCCTCCTCCTCTCCCCCCTCTCCAAAGAACCCCACCACATCAGCAAAAGCAGCAGCATGCCCCAACCCCCTGGACTCTGCCAGCACTGCCAGCAGGGACGGCTCAAAGTGAGAGGCGTCACGCGGAGAGGAGTGGTGGGAAGAGGTGGTACCTGTCGACACAGGCACGGATCCCCCTCCAGCCAGCACACTTCGTGCCCCATTGACCAGTACTGAACGGTCTTGACTGTTACTGCCACATCGATCATCTGCTGCTTCTGCTGCTGCTGCTGCTAATGATGATGCCTGCATTTCAGATCCAATCTCTAATGGGTGGTGCTCACATGCGGTAAGGGACACTCCCTCCCCTTCCGGCAGCGCCTCTGCAATTGGTTCTCGTGGAACGGCTCCGATCCTCGCCACGTCACCCCTGCCATCGTCACCCCTGCCATCGCCACCCCTGCTCACAACATTCAAGGGATCCATCTGGTTTCTTCTGCTGCTGCCACCGCTGTTGCTGCTGCTGGCGATGAAAGTGGCAGCTTGTCTGGATCCTGCTGCGCCCGCGGGACAAGTGAATTCCCAGCCATCACTCATACTGGCAGCAGAGACTTCTGTATTCGTTGCTGGGTTATATTTAACCGTGGCTGGTCTTTCTGTTACCCTGGCCACGTCGCCAGGGTTTAATGAAGGAGATAGCCTGGCTAGTCGAGCCGTGATTGCAGCAACAGTGGGGGCTCTGCCTCTGTAAGTGGGAGTAGAACCGGCTACGATAGGCGTAGACCCTGTCAGCACGGGCGTGGATGCAGCTAGCATGGGCGTGGCAAACGCTGAGGCAGGCGTGCTCCAGTCGGCGTCGGAGCAGAGGGAGAGGAACGAGTCCGAGCGTGGCGACTCGAACGCACCATCATCGTCAGACAGCGAGTCACAACGTGCCGGCTCAGATGCCTCTCTGACAGCAGGAGAAGCGGCAGCAGCAGGCCGAGCAGTGGTACCGGCAGCCGTAACACGAGGTCGGCAAGCATCCAGTGCAAGGGACATGTCCGGTGCTGCAGCGAGTGAGGCAGGAATAGCTACTCCTGTTGCGCAAGTGGCCTCTATCACCCACTGCTCTACAGAGTGCTGCTGTAATGGTCGCAGCTCCCATGCCCGTCCCTGCTGCTGCTGCTGCTGCTCCTGGTGCTGCTGCTGTCGTTGCTGCTCATGCTGCTGCTGCTGCTGCGGCTGCCCGTTGTGTTGCTTCTCCCCATGTGGTTCGCATTCAGCCACGTTGGCAGAGGAAATGGTGGCGGTGAGCGGATTAGGTGCGGTATGGGTGGGTGAAGATGGAGAGAGGGGTGGATGGCGCGAGGATGAGGTGTTAGGGGCCTTACCATGTGATGGTGGGACATGGGATTGTGGTGGAGTGTACAAGGGCGGAGGGTAAGATGGGGGGTGAAGCGGTGGCATGGCATGGCCTGGTTGCAGGCTTTGTGACTGTTGGAGAGACGAGAAGCAGGAAGAGGAGGTGGAAGAGGAGACAAAGGAGGACGAGGAGAGAAGCGCGTCAGGGTTTAAGGCCAGCATTCCCACCGCGTGAGCGTGTACAGATAGAGACTCCACCTGGAAAGGGAAGGTGCGGAGCAGAGGAGAGTGTGAGAAACGGAGGGCCGAGAATCCACCACGTCAGCCGGTGCAGATAGAGCCTTCACCTGCGGAAGCAGGGTGACTGGGGAATTTATGTGAGCAAACGCAGGTGTATAAGAAGAATAGCTATCAGAATTACCCATCAGGTATCCAACAATTCAGCTTAAGCGATGTCTAAAACCAACCCTGCCCTCAACGCCAGCTAGGCAAGCGACGTCTAAAACCCCTAACCCAAATTGCCCACAGGGGTGTACGAGCAACCTGTCTGCTGCTGGAGTAGAAATCTAAAGCCAGAATCTATGGTGTTCCACGTCCACTTTTTTTGAGTCGACTAAAAAATCAACTCATTACACACGGGTTTTGAGTCGACTAAAAAACCAGAATCTATGGTGTTCCACGTCTACTAAAGTGCAGCGATGCCACGGCAGCAGTGACAGACAGCAGCACCATCCACGTGTGCGCTGCTCCACTGTGTTACACCTACAGCCACACACCCGTTCTTGAAACGGTGCTATATCCAGTGCCCCACGCCAGACACCCTTACCTGCAGGGATGCGCCAGCAGCAGTGACTGACAGCAGCTCCATCCACCTGTGCGCTGCTCCACACTGTGTTTGTTACACCTACAGTCACACCCCCGTTCCTAAAGTCCACTGCTCGATTGTGGCACATCCAGTGCCCCACGCCAGGGCCCCTCACCTGCAGGGAAGCGCCAGCAGCAGTGACAGACAGCAGCTCCATCCACCTGTGCGCTGCCTGCTGGCTCTCCGCTGCCAGGTGGTGCGATCCCATTGGCCCTCGGATGTCTGTGGCGGGGCAGGGGGAGACGAATTCAATCAAAGTTTGTCAGGGGCTTGAAACAGGTGCAGGGGAGGGGAGGTAAGGCTGGGGAAGACGAGAAGTATGACGGAAAAGGGAGCACGGCAGGCTGGGAAGGTGAGCAACAGTAGCAGGAGCAGGTGGGGTGGCTTGGCTGGGAGGGGAGGTGTGCATGGAAGGGGCAGGAGAGAAGGGCGCTCGGGTTTCGGAAAAGGGAGCAAGACGGGCGGGGAGAAGGAACATACAGAAGCAGCACCAGGTGGGGTGGCTGGCAGGGGAGCTGCACGCATGACACAGGGGAGAACCACGAGGCAGAGAGAGACAGACAGAGGGGTGGGGAGAATCAGGGCGAGGGGATCTGGAAACGGCGAGGCGATTGCTAAGTCAATCCGAGAACTATAGCGGAGGAAAGAGTGTGACCAAGGGAGGGCGTAGAGGGAGAACTGTGGAGGAAGAAATGAGACCAGTTGGGCAGACTGACCACTGTGACTCTGGAAAGCGAGGGGATAGCGAGAGGGAGAATGGATTCACCGGCTGTTAGGTAGGAGGGGGGGAAGAAGGCGGAGGGGAGGGGGGAAAAGAGGCAATGCCAGGAACAAGAAGGTCAGACCACCCACCTCAGCACCCCTACACTCGCGTCCACCAATGGAATCGTGCCACGTAAGCTCGCATCCCTCTGCCTGATCTTATACAGCAGCCTAGGAGCCCCTCTATGCAGGACGAACCAGCGGCGCCGCCACTGCCGCAGCTGGTCGCTCAGCTTCCACAGCTCGCCCTCCAGCGACTGACCCTCCACCAGCTGGGACTCCGCCAAACCGCGTGGCTCGTGGATGGCCCACGTTGCCATTGAAAATCCTGTAACTAAGCGACCCAAGGTTATCTCAGGATCCGTTGACTCAAAAGTCTCTCTCCAGTGCCTGGCCCTCCACGAGATGAGGCTCCGCTAACCCGCGTGACTCGCGGAGGGACCAAGCCGCCATTGGATCTCCTGAACTGCCTTTCACGTCGACTCAAATAGCCCCCTAAGAAACGCTTAGCCTTCCAGAACCTGGGACTCTGCCAACCCGCGTGACTCGCGGAGGGACCAAGCCACCATTGGAGATTCTGTAAGTGACTGGTTGTTGGAAACCCGAGGGTACCAGTACCCGCCAGCGCAGACGTCTGGCTTTACACAAGCTCAGAGTTGGCTAATCCGCGTGACTCGCAGAGGGGCCAAGCTGCCATTGAAACTGAACGAACTTGTCTTTCGTCGTTTTTCACGAGCTGAAGCGGAGCGGAAAAGAGCGGTTCGGTAATATCACGACAGGTGAATTTGATGTGTTTTTACATGCGACTCGAATCTCCAAAATGGCAGACGAACCAAAAGAAATATACACGATGATCGGCGTGTGACGCCGAGACGATAAACGGATCATCGACCCACAGACACAAACATATCGTATGCCGGCACCACGAGTCGTCGCCAGGTTGATGGTTAGGCCACACAGGAAACACCTAGTCGGCGGCTGATTGACAATTTGGTCTAGTCTACATCGACTCTAGCTGATAATATTTCTTCAATATAAGCTAAGGATGATGGGAAGCATGGTGTATGCATTTAGACTCGCGTGGCTGGCGGCAACTTCCAGGTTTCATCTCGCGTGGCGTCGTACATCCCATTCTGACATTTGTGCCAGAAGTACGTGTGACCCAGCTCGCCACGCTAGTAGCACAGTTGCAGTCATGTGCTCGTCTGAAACATCAAGAGTCCTCTTGGGTCGCGCACTTGAAACGAAGTTGCACTGCTCAGCGAGAAAGACGGTTACATGCGCGACGTTTGCGAAGGCTCAGGCGACCCTTCTACTCTTCCTGACGAAAGCGATGTGAGCAGCCCAACTCCGTCTGGTTCGTGAACTGAAACGAATGGCTGTCCTTCGGTCGTACAGCTTGTTCCAATACATCTCTGGGCGAAAAACGGGTTACCCCTGTCTCGCGACCTAATTCAATGTCACGAACACTGCTGGATGGTCAGCCGTGCGAACTCCCGACAGTAACCCTGCACTTCGTTAGTGCTATGGGAGGTGTCAGCAGAGCCATCCATGTCGTCCAGCGATATTCGCAACAGATTTCGCGAACTGCGTTTTTGGTGGTTGGTGGTTCGTTGGAGAAAGTCGTCCAGCAACACTGGCATCTGCTTGCCTGGAACCTTTCACTCCGTAGCCTTGCTGTGTGGAGGCGCAGTTGATCGCCCGCCTCCTTCCTTGATTGCTCAGGCTCGCCTTGCGTAGTCAGCTCCATTACGCGAGGTGACGCGTGGGTGCCCGTAGATTCTGGAGGCATCGTCCTCGTATTTCCACACAGGACGTCCTTAACGTTCATTCGAGACAATCGCTCGCGGTTTGCACCGATTCTATCCCCATATCGAGCGATTATTCCTCTCGAGCTTCGGCGGCGACGGTAACCATGCTCGGGCCGGACGTGCCTCATCGCGTGGGTTCAGACAGCCGCGACGATGGCGCCTTCTCCTTCTTCGTAAGCCCTCGCGGACTGCGCTCGGGACACCGTCGTAGTGACTCAACTTATGTTTACGAGTTGGCCTAGAAATCCGAAGAGTTTATCAGGGAGTGTGAAGCATAATTCTCATAATTCCCGTCTCCCGTCTGACTCGTTCCCACGTTTTGATGCGTCTTGAAATCCCTAACAGGGCGGAGCCAGCACCGCGAGCACCAGCAACGCCACCGCCAGCACCGGCACCAAGGAGCCTGAAGCTAGCTCCGCCTCCCTCCACCCATTCGCCGCGTTCTCCTCCGCCAAACAAGTTTCCACCGCAAATATTAACAGCAACACCGCACCCGATGGCACCGAAACCAACGCCACTTCATCCACCACAACTGCGCACCCCTTCCGACCCCCTGGAAAGAGCCAATCAGCCGCCGCCACGTCGTCTCTCGCCTCCCCTCCCATGGTAGCTCCTGCGTCCACGCCTCTTGAGAGAAGCAGAGAGACCGATGCACGCGCTGCCAGCACTGGGGGAGCAGCAGGGGGTGCTACAGTGAACAGTGCTACAGCAGTGGCAGCATCAGGAGCAGCAGCAGCAGCAGCAGGTGGGGGTGCAAGGCGTCAGCCGCGGAAGAAGTTCATTCCGGAGCAAGGCATGGGGCAGATGAGCTGGCGCAAGGCCAGCGCTGCTGCTGCCAACGACATAGCTCGTACGTGCCAGGGCTTGGGATAGTGTGTGTTCTGGACGTTTTGGTACCGTCTGGTCAGACGCACTCGAAACTGTACTGTACGGTGCAATTCTGACTCCAGTTGGTTATGCGGTTCAGAATGGCGCGACACGAAGCTGAAAAGGGGCTCGTCTGATAAGGGGTCCTATACACGCGCTCTTAGTGTACTCGTGGTTGCGTAGTCACTTCATTATCACGACAGCGAGTGCTAGTTTTTCCATCTTACAATGTGTGCACTGGCTTCCTCTTCTCTTTTTATCCCCCAGGGTACCGCATGATGCATGGAAAGGTTACTCTTTCCACGTGTGTCAATCCGTGTTGCTCCCTATTCGCCCCATTCCAGGGTACCGCATGCAGCACCAAGGGGCGATACGCATGGAAGAGGTGAAGAGACACAAGAGGGAGGACGACGCGTGGACCGTGGTGCGCGGGAGAGTGTACAACATCACGCCCTACCTCGACTTCCACCCGGGAGGTGAGTCGGGTGCATAGGCGTGTTTGCCTGAATGCCTTGTCTCTGACGTGCTTGCCTGAATGCCTTGTCTCTGACGTGCTTTACTTTATTGCTGTTGGCGCGCTCTGCTGCTGTGGTGCGACGGAGAGTGTATAACATCACGCCCTACCTAGACTTCCACCCGGGAGGTCAGTCACATGCACAGGCGTGCTTGCTTCACTGTCTTGTTACATGAGCGCTTCCCTCGCTGTATTGCAGCTTCTGTGGTGCCAAGCAGAGTGTGCAATATGGAGGAATGGGGCTCTTGCTCTACCTGGACTTCCACAGTAAAAAAGCTGACCAATGTGCTTTGCTTATTTTTTTAGCTTGCTTTTGTTTCGACTGAACAGGGACGAAGGCCATGTAACCGTGGTCTCGCTTTTGTAACGATGTGTGAACCACCCCCGTGACCTGTGACTGCAGGGAAGGCAATTCTAATGAAGGGGGCTGGCAAGGACTGCACTGCGCTCTTCAGTACGCTCACTTGCCCCTCCCCTCTCTTGAATGGCCCTCAATGCTTCTCTCTCACCCCTCTTCTCTGACATTGAGATCCCTTTTTTCCTCCTACGCTTTCCCTCGCAGTCCATTGTTCCAGCTCCTTTTTTCTGTTTTGTTTGTTTTGTTGACTGGTATAGCCAACTCATTCACATTCTCCTCCAAATCTTCTCCCCCCCAATAGACAAGCACCATGCATGGGTGAACGCTGAGTTTTTATTGGACCAGTGCTTCCTCGGCATGCTCATTCCCGATGACTGACTCGCCACGTGCTGACAACTCAACTCATGCCAGTAGCATGCTCTACCTGTGCTGCCTGACGCGCCTCCTGGCCCGCTGCATGCTCATTCCCAATGACTGGCTGTGAGGGGAGCCGAACCATGCGTGCTCGCTGCTCACTGCTCAGCATGCTAACTGTATGCTCCGATACCACCTGCATGCATGTCCATGCATGTGAGGCCGCGGACTACCACCACCTGCGCATCCTGCTGGGACTGCTACTACAGTAGCATATGAGCCTTCATTGCTAACTGGTTGTTCTGATATGAAGATTAGTGCTACCCATTTATTAGTGCTTCCCTGAGCCACTAGGCCTCTCCATGCCACTATGCTTCCCCGCGCCACTATTCTACCCCGTGCCACTGTGCTTCCCCCTGTGCCACTATGCTTGCCGGCACCACTAAGCTTCTACCCATGGAAGCAGTAACAGTTTCAGGGCAGTGAACTGGACTGCACTGGCATAATGGATGGTCAGGTCAGAGGACACTAGAGAGAGCCGAGGGAACATGGTGTGGACAACGGCCCTAAGAGGAGGTGTTACACTGCTGGTTACCACCTCGCCACAGCTTTGGATAATGCAGCGGAGCCTACACAGGCCGGCAAACTTTCGTGTGAACAAGAATCTATCATTGATGCATTTTTGTTTCACCTCATGCAAGGGTAGAGAGGGATGATGGCGTGTGAAGAATACAATGGGAGACTTGGTCGCATTGCTCTCTGCTGGTTATATACACGGGAAGAATATTGATAATTCAGCACAGCACTAGGTGGCACTATATTATTCATGAACATAGTGCATGCTTCTGGTGGTCACTAGGTGCCGCTCTTTGTACTGGCGTTGAGAGAAGCATCAGCATCAGTACTGTTGGAAATATCTCAAGGACTTAAGCGTTTCTGAAGTGTAACACTGTACTCGAGGAAGATTACAGGGGAGCACGCGAGTCAACGGAGGTTACACGAGGGGGCGGACAAAGAATGCGAAAGGACTCGAAAGGTCGAAACTGGAGGTTGCGACTGACCGTTACAACATCACGGATGGTAACCGAAGCGGCAATCGAGTCGCTGTGCGACTCGATAAACCGTTCCTGTAACTGTATTCTACAACTGCTTTCTTATCTTCTATATATTGCTGTATGCTTGTTTCTTTAATCAATCACTTGTTCTCACATACTAGTACAAGGGTTCAACTGCCTCAACTTCCGCTGCACTACTCCAAGTCTCAAGTCTCTACAGCTGGGACTTAGTCTCTGTAAAAGATCCTAAGGGCTTTTTCTCAGCCCAACATGGTATGAGAGCTGGTCAGAGACCAAACTCCCAGCAACTACGCTCCATCAACAAACTGCAACTCAACTCAATTCAACGACTTCATTAATTACAAGACATGGACAGCAAGAGCAAGAAAGTCTCTACGGGCTCACCCAGCGGCCAAGAAACTCAACACGGCAACTCTGGTCTGCACACCTCAGGATTGCAGACAGAGACCGGGACTGCTCAAGAAACAACAGGAAGAGTACCAGAGATGGTGACTCCGTCTCCCTCTTCAAGTGTGGACCCGAATCTCATGGAGAGATTCTTCAGCTTCATGTCACACTTCGACCAGCAACAGCAGACAAGGACACCTGCGCATTCAATACAGAGCAATGGAGGAAACATGGGATTAGCGCCGATGAGCCTCGACAACTCATCCTTTGGGCGACACAACCAAGCACCTACCTTTGCGCCTTATCATTCTTCACCGGGGACGTTCGAGTTCATGCCGCCCCGCGCCCAACCAACAGCAGCTGCATCACAACAAACACCAAACGAGATTCTCAGTCTTCAGGCTCAATTCTCACACGTCATCAAGTTACAAACATCCTCACCGTTCAACGGACACGACTTCTTTACCTGGAGCTTCGAGTTCGAGCTGCTGATGGAGGCCGCGCATCTTCTGGGATACTTCAACGGGTCCCTGCCATTCCCAAGCAACGGCACTGGAAAAGAACAAGAGATCTTCACGTATCAGTCGCTACTGGCGTATACAGTCCTCCTGCGGAACCTGTCACCACAAGAGCAGCAGAGCATCAGAACATATCGGAGCTATGGGAACTCCGCGGAACTCGCATGGCATCATCTCAAGTGCCTTTATCAAGCAAACGACAGCGTGACGCAAAGCAGACTCATGCAACAACTGACAACAATACAGATGAAGACCGGGGAAAAGGCAATGCAATATATGAGTCGCTGCCAGACTCTCCGCGACCGCCTGCTTCGGTGCGGAGGAACAATCACTGAAGAAAGCTTCGTGACACTTGTCCTCGCCGGGCTCGGGCCAGAATGGAGAACCACACGATCGCTTCTTCGAGCCTACGGAAGAATTTCGGAGATGCACCTCTGCGCCGAGCTCCATGCTGAACAACAGGAGATGGATCTGTTCGAGGAAAGACAACCAAGGAAGCAACAGCAGTTAGTCTTCTACACTCAACGAAGAAATGACAACAACCACAACCGACGCGGCAAGCAAGAGCACGACAACAGAGGGACTACCTTCGTGCCGCCGTTCTGCCACAACTGTCAGACTTCCGGGCACTCCAAGGTCAACTGCAACCGCCCTCGCGTTTACCGTCCAGCAGACCCACAAGTCGCCTCAACCCAAGCAAGTCCCCCAAGGCGCTCTTCAACATCTGCACAACAAACACCAAATATTATTAACTGCATGGTACACATCGACGACTGCGCACCCGGATCACCACCCACTTACGCACCAGACGAAGAGGAATTCCCGCCGCCGCGCTCACAAGGACTTCAGGTCAACCCGACATACGCTGCAGTCGCCAACGCCGAACCCACCGGGCGGAACACCTGGTTCTTGGACAGTTGCTGCGGTCAACACATGTGCTCCTCGGGACGCTTCGTGCAACAGGAGAAACGACTCAACCGCGACGTCGTCATCACCGTCGCCAACAACGAAAACCTGAAGACAAACAGACAGGGCGTGGTTCAGTTACAATCAATGGAGACGAATGTCATACTTCAACTCAACAAGGTGCTCATTGTCGACAATCTGGGATACAACCTACTAAGCGTAAGCCAACTAATGGCCAAGGGGATTCACCTGGAGTGCGATTCTTACTCCAACGAGTTCCGGCTTTACCACGGGAAGGGCGGCCTCTTCATCGGTCGTGCCCTCCTGAAGTCCGGCGTCTTCGTGTTGGACTTCGTCCCGGACCGCGGAACTGCCGACAGCGATGGCATCGTATCATTCGCCGCCTGGACTCACCCGCCGGATCTTGATCCCGACTTCGACAGTGATGGCTTCTGGCACTCCAACACCATACCTGCAGCAGAGAGAACACGAGCATTAGCAGTCATCAAACAAGAAAGACAAGTACCCGCAAGCGTCCCAACAAAACCATCACCTGCAGTATCGGCAGCAGGACCCAGCCGAGTCCCACCACCAGCGATCCGAGGACCGCCAACCGAAGCAGACCAGCTTATGCCCGTCACACGAGAAGTTTGTCGAAGTCCCGCCTCAGTCGTCGCGTTCTTCTCCAACGCCGACATATACCACCACTCACCCGGCCATCGCGCTCCCGACGACATCTGGCACCAACGCCTCGGGCACCCTGCAAATAGTACAATACTACAAACCATCCAAGCCGAAGTGTTAGAACGCAACGCCCTTCTAACAACGAGCGGCCAAGAACTTCGACGACCTCGCGCACGGTGCTTCACGTGCCCCGAAGCAGATCTTCCTCATCAACCCTTCCCATCACATCATAATTCAAGCGCGCCTGCATATGCAACGATGGAAAAAGTCTACAGCGACATCTTGAACATGCCTCGAGACGACACAGAAGCCGACTTCAACTACGTCATCACCTTCGTCGATGCAGCAACAAGATACACTTGGCATTACAACCTCAAGACGCGCGACCAAGCCTTCGACGCCTTCACAACATGGCTCCCCATCGCCGAACGGGAATCAGGAACCAAGCTCAAAAGCTTCCAGTCAGACGGTGCACTGGAATACCAGTCACAACGCTTCAGGACCTATCTGGCGGAAAGAGGAATCAAGCGCCTGGTGTCCCTACCATACGCTCACCAACAGCAGGGGGTCGCAGAACGCATGAACCGGACCTTGCAGACGACGATGCGAAAGCTGCTCCTGGGGATGAAACTGCCCAACACACTGTGGCCAGACGCGATGACACATGCAGTCCACCTGCACAACCTGTTGTCCTCGTCATCGCTCCCCAACAACGCATCACCGCACCTGCTGTGGACGGGAAAAAGGGGCAGCACAAAATTACTTCGAGTTTTCGGCTGCATGGTACAATACAGACCCCACACAGCTCGAGCAGGACGCTTCACTCAAAGAGCTCGGTGGGGACTACACCTCGGCATCGCCAAACATTTTTACGCGTGGAAGATTCTCGACGTACAAGACAAAAATACGGTGGCATCACGTGATGTTATCTTCTACGAGCGACTGACGCTGCAGCATTACCTGGACAACATTGCCAACTCAGACGACCCCACCGACGGCTTCGCGGGCCTTCGCTCCTTCGCTGACCATGCTGCCGAGGCTGACGCAGCAGAAGAAGACGTCCCTGGAGCCTCGGAGGCTGCCGGACCACTCCCCTACTGCTCCGTACCTGTTCCACTCGATGAAGATAATCCCCTCGATAGCAACAACCTCGACACCTTTTACCACTTCGCTGACCAAGGCTACGCTACACCACACCCCGTCGACTCGAACATTTCCGAACGCATCGGGCCAAACTTCTTACCCGATCCTGAAGACGGTGATGAAGCAGCTTATCCCGAGAATGAAAATTCCCCTCGACACACAGCCACGGGACTGCAGATCCTAGGACTATGGGTCTCCGTCCAGCACCCGCCGCCACCTTCTCCGCGCGAGCCGTCGACCCTGTCGCAGGCTCTGGGGGGGGAACATAAGGCGAAATGGAAGGAAGCAATGGAAAAAGAGTTAAAAGCCCTCCAAGACCGGAATACATGGAAGTTAGTACCGACAACCAACACCAACGGGAGGAACATTCTCTCGGGGAAATGGGTGTACCGCATTAAGACCAACGCGGACGGCTCCATCGAACGTTTTAAAGCGCGATGGGTCGTACGAGGCTTCGACCAACGATACGGAACCGACTACACAGAAACCTTCGCCCCAGTCTCCCGTCACACCTCCCTGCGCATCCTACTCGCCGTCGCGGCCACGAAGAAACTACCACTACGGCAAATCGACGTCGCAAACGCCTTCTTGTACGCACCTGTGGACGCCGAAATCTTCGTCGAACAACCCCACGGATTCATCGACGACCCTTCAAAAGTATGCCAGCTGGAAAAATCCCTTTACGGGATCAAGCAAGCCCCACGGCTCTGGCAGCAGCACCTTCACGGCCGGCTCGCAAAAATCGGATTCCTACAACTGCCGCATGACCAAGGGATGTACCGACTGCAGAAGGGAAGAGAGTACGTCCTACTCATCGTCTACGTCGACGACCTGCTCTACATCGGCTCCACTACCGACATCGCTACCTGGTTCGAAGGGGAGCTGAAAGGGGACCTGACGCTCACGGTGTCCGACTCAGTGACCCAGTACTTGGGACTAAATATCATCGAAGACAACTCGGCGTTCTACCTACACGCTGGAAAGTACGCAGGCACTGTCGCGAAGAAATTCGGACTAACACCGGCTACCGCCCCAACTCCCTACCACTACGGAAACAACAACAACGCCTCCGCAAAACTCCCCGCGAAGCAAATCCAGGAGTATCAACAGAAGCTCGGCTGCCTACTATTTGCAGCAGTAACCTGTCGACCTGACCTGTCCTATAGTGCAAGTCAACTGGCGACGCATCTGAAGCAACCGGAACAGGAGGATCTCGAGGAGCTCAACCGGGCACTACTCTACTTCGTCTCCACGCCGACGATCGGACTTACCTACAGCAAAGCGACAACACCGTCCGTACAACTACTCGGATACGTCGACGCCGACCACGCGGGAGATAGGGAAAATCGACGATCTAGGACGGGCTATATCTACCGACTAGAACCCATCGGAACTATCTCCTGGCAGTCGAGCAAGCAGGAGTTAATCGCACTATCCTCGGCTGAAGCAGAGTATATCGCCCTTTGTACTGCGACCAAGGAAGGACTCTACCTACGGGAGTTACTCGAAGAAGCGAAGATCGCGACCCTGCCCGCCTTCTCACTCCTCTGCGACAACCAATCTGCGATCAAAATCGCGAACAAGGACGGCTTCGCCAACCGAACCAAGCACATCGCCCTGCGATACTTCTTCGTCAAGGATGAAATCGCGAAGGGGAGACTTCAACTCAGTTACTGCCCGACGACAGAAATGGCCGCAGACTATCTGACGAAGAAATTGGCGAAAGCAAAATTCGACTACTGCATGCTCCTAACCGGGCAAACAAACGTCACCCGATCTGAACACTCCAGCACTCCAGAAACGAAGGGGAGTGTTGGAAATATCTCAAGGACTTAAGCGTTTCTGAAGTGTAACACTGTACTCGAGGAAGATTACAGGGGAGCACGCGAGTCAACGGAGGTTACACGAGGGGGCGGACAAAGAATGCGAAAGGACTCGAAAGGTCGAAACTGGAGGTTGCGACTGACCGTTACAACATCACGGATGGTAACCGAAGCGGCAATCGAGTCGCTGTGCGACTCGATAAACCGTTCCTGTAACTGTATTCTACAACTGCTTTCTTATCTTCTATATATTGCTGTATGCTTGTTTCTTTAATCAATCACTTGTTCTCACATACTAGTACAAGGGTTCAACTGCCTCAACTTCCGCTGCACTACTCCAAGTCTCAAGTCTCTACAGCTGGGACTTAGTCTCTGTAAAAGATCCTAAGGGCTTTTTCTCAGCCCAACAAGTACCACCTGCAATTGCAGGAGCGCTAGCTGGCATTGGTGGCAGCACGACTGCTTGATCGGTACTGGCAGTAACTGTATCAGCTGCAGCAGCTGCACCGACTGTAGCAGGAGCAACACTTGTCACAACAGCACCACTCGAAGCAGGAACACCGGATGTAGCAGCAATGTTAGGTGTGGCTTGTGACGAAACAGCAGGGCCACTGGCGATAATGCACTCAGAGGAGCTGTAAGCGGCAACAGCGGCCCCCGCAGCAGCAGCAGCAGCCGCAGCAGTCGCAGCAGGTGCAGCAGCATGACTACTTACAGCGGCAGTGGTGGACGCGGAAGCTGCTGTGGGAGCAGCTCTGCTGCCGGTAAGGGAGAGTGTGCTGGCCGTGCCTGCTGCACGAGGTAGTGTGAGCAACGGGAAAGCCATCTCAGCTGTTGCCCTGGCAGCAGCAGTCACAGCAGGCGCAGCCGCATCAATGCTTGCTGCGGTTACAGGGGAAGCGGCAGACACAGTAGAAGGAGCACTGTTGTCGGTAAGGGAGGGTCTAGTACAGGCTGTGGCCGGTGCAGGTGGTGGTGTGAGAAACGGGGGAGGCATGTGAACGGGTAACACCCGAGGAAGCCTGATTGCAGAGATGGGCTGGGGTTGTGTGAGTGAAGGGATGGGTGGAGATGCCACTGAAAGGGGAGGCTGAGTCTGTGTGAGTACAGGCAGACCAGCTGCAAGAGGCAGTGCCGCCACAGGCTGCATGGCTGGCAGCAGGGGAGAGCGCGCAGACTAGCCCTGAGGGCCCTCCAAGTTTTGAGACGTCTCAAAGCCAGATGGGCCCTGAGGGACCTCTGCAACTACCCTGAGAGCCGAGGCTGCAGGCGCCTCAACGCAGGGCCGTAGAGCCGAGGGGTGGACGGGAGGGGCTACAGACGCAGTGAGGTTTGGCACCCAGAGTGTGGGCTTGAGCCTTGGAAGTTGGTGGGTAAAGCTCGGCTGCTGCTGCTGCTGCTGCTGCCGGGTGGGAGTGATGCTGGTGCTAGCAGTGGTGCTGGTAGTGGTGGCAGCAAGAGCAGGTGCTGAGAGTGGGATCAAGGGCTGGCCAGGGGCAGCATATGAGCGAGTCTGTTGCGAGGTGGAAGGGGGAAGAGAGGCTCGGGTGACAGTTAGGGCAGGATATGTGCGAGTCTGTAGCAGAGCAGCAGAGGGGGGAATGGAGCTCCAGATGGTGGCAGAGCGAAGAGCAGAGGGGGAGAAGAAGGGGGAGGAGCAGAGGAGAGGAGGGAAGGAGGTTGAGAGGGACGTGGCTGGAAGGGGATGGAGGGTTGGTAAAACGGATCAGTGGGGGTGGCTGGCAGGCGGGGTGATGCGATAGACGCAGGCGGGGGCTGGGCTGGGATCGAGTTGACTGGGGTACGATGGAATGGTGCAGGGTCACCTGGTGTATGGTTAACTGGGGCAGTATTTCTTTGAAATGAGCTGACTGGCTGGGAAGGGTTGACTGGAGCAGGGTTGCATGGAGGAGGGTTCACCAGATTGGGTTTGCCTGGAGGAGGGTTGACTGGTGAAGGGTTGACTGGTGAAGGGTTGACTGGTGCAGGGTTGACTGGTGAAGGGTTGACTGGTGAAGGGTTGACTGGTGAAGGGTTGACTGGTGAAGGGTTGACTGGTGCAGGGTTGACTGGTGAAGGGTTGACTGGTGAAGGGTTGACTGGTGAAGGGTTGACTCGTGCAGGGTTGACTGGTGCAGGGTTGACTGGTGAAGGGTTGACTGGTAAAGGGTTGACTAGTGAAGGGTTGACTGGTGCAGGGTTGACTGGTGAAGGAACATCGACTGGAGGAATGGGGGTGCGTGGCTGTGATGTGGGGAGTGCTGGGGTAAATGAGGAGGAAACACGAGGCGAAGGGTTAGGCTGGCATGTGGTATGGTGGCGCGAGGTGAGATAGTATGAGGTACGGTGGTATGAGGTAAGGTGGTATGAGGTAAGGTGGTATGAGGTACTGCTGCTGGTGTGCTTGCGTATGCTGCATGCGAGGCCGAGGGTACATTCGACGATGGCAGGTGTGTTGAGGCTGGTGCAGCTGGTGCTACAGATGGGGCAGCTGGTGCTACAGATGGGCAGCTGGTCCTACAGATGGGGCAGCTGGTGCTACAGATGGGGCAGCTGGTACTACAGATGGGGCAGCTGGTCCTACAGATGGGGCAGCTGGTTCTACAGATGGGGCAGCTGGTGCTACAGATGGGGCAGCTGGTGCTACAGATGGGGCAGATTGCGCTACAGATGGGGCGGATTGTGCAGATGGTGCATGGGTAAGTCTTGATGGTACAGACAGTGCATGCGTATGTGTTGATTCTGTGGTTGGAGGCGCTTGGAGTGATGGTGTGTCTCCTGCTTGTCGTGTTTCAATACTGCCCACTGCAGCTTGCACAGCTGTTTCATGTGGTGGTGCGGCATGTGATGGTGCAGCATGTGATGGCACAGCATGTGATGGTGCGGCATGTGATGGTGCGGCATGTGCAGACAACGATGCATAGTGAGCAGTTCTCATGTGTCTAGATGATGCAGCATGCATGTGGGTGCGATGCCCACGTGCATGTGGTGAAAGCACCCCCCCTGGTGCCCCCACTCCAGCATCCCCTGCCATGCCTCCAGCAAGTGGCGATTGCACCGCTGCAGCACGTGGCGATGGCATGGCTGCGGCAGAAGGAGGAGCAGCAGGAGGAGCAGGAGCAGCAGGAGGAGGAGCAGCAGGAGGAGCAGGAGCAGCAGGAGGAGGAGCAGCAGGCGCTCCATGCCTTATTGCGCCTTGGCGACGCGGGGAGACAGGGGAGCGGGCAGAGAGGCGAGCATGAGGGGCAGTATCTGGGGCAGCAGCAGCAGCAGCAGCAGCAGCTGGAAGGGGAGCAGCAGGAGGAGGAGCAGGAGAAGAAGGAGCAGGAAGAGAGACAGCAGGAGGAGGAGGAGCACGGGCAGAAGTCACGACAGCAGCAGCAGCGGATGCAGGGGCGTCAATAGCAGCAAGAGCCAGCATCTTCTGCTGCAGCCTCACGCTCATCCGAGTTCCTGCCACCACCGCTGCCTCTGCTCCAGGCAAAGCACTGGTGGTCCTTGCAGCAGCAGGAGCAGCAGCAGCAGGGGCGCTAGGAGAAGGCAGTGGGGGTGGGGTGTCGAGAGGTGCGCCTGCTGTTGGAGTGGTGGCAGTAGCAGCCAGCAGGTTGCTGAGTCGGGTGGTGGGGCGAGTGGCGAGGCGAGAGCGAGTGTGGGAGGGGCGGCGGGGCGGTACTGGAGGGGTGGAAGCAGCAGATGTGAGAGAGGCGGCAGCAGCAGCAGCAGCAGCAGATGCAACAGGTGCGACAAAGGCAGTTGAGGCAGCAACAGGGGCAGTGGCAGCGGTAAGAGAAGCAGTAGCATGGGAACTCAGCTCACGAATGCGGCCAGAGGCAGTTGAAGCAGGAGCAGCGGCAGCAGCGGAAGCAGAACTGGCAGCAGCAGCAGCAGCAGCAGCTGTTGCTGCTGTTGCAGCCATATCTTGGTCTTGACCACGCCGAGGGGAGAAGAATGACTTGTGAGCCGCCACCAAAATCTCTTCCACAGGACCCAGAGCGGACAAAGGGCAGCGGGAGGAAGGGAGAAAGGGGGAGGCGGACCGAGTGGGGAACGAGGGGGAGGTGACGGACGTAGAGGGAGGGAGTGTGGTGGTGGGATGTGGTTGGAAGCAGGAAGAGAGGCCGGAGTGGAGAAGAAGGCATGCGCCAGAGCCAAGGTTTGTGTGATGGCTGGACGGATGGAGGTGGGGGGGGGGGGAAGGGAGAGACGTGTGAGACGGGGAGGAGCAGAGAGAAAGGTTGAAAAAGAGAGAGGAGACACGTGATAGGAGACGGGCAGAAGACAACAGGACCAGATGAAAAATAAAATAAAATCAAGGAAGCCAGGTGAGGTCTTACCCAGGGAAGCATCTTCTGTAGCAAGACGGCCTCAGCAGCAACCAGCCGAACGGGGGTGTACTGGTGAGTAGCTGGGTCTCCCTTGAGAGCCTCATACAGGGCTGCACTCTCCCTTGGAGTGGGAAGGGCAGTCGAGGCATCGTCGTCAGCAAGCAGCCAGTCAGCCTCGTGGGGAAACAGATCCACTTCCCTCCAGCTTTCCCCTGTGCCTGTGGCCGTGTGCATGCGACCTTTGGCTTCCAGCCCCTTGCCTCCACCCCCGCCGCTTCCTGTGTCCTTCCCATCCTGCTCTTCAACACGCAGCCCCATGCCTCTACCCATGCCCATGCCACTCTCCATGCCCATGCCATTGCCAGTGCCTTCCATCCCTCTGGCATCCATGCCTGCTCGCATGGCATCATCGTCTGTCCCCTCATAATTTTCCGCTGAATCTGGAACCTCAACTCCATAGCTGCTCAACTTTGTGCGCAGATACCCTCTGCCGCCTCCTGCTGCTGCTTCTGCTGCTGCTTCTGCTGCTTCTGCTGCTTCTGCTGCTACTGCTGCTGCTGCTTCTTCTGTTTCCCCTCTCCCACGCTTCTCGCCACGTATCCTCCCTTCTTCCATCCCACCTTCTCTCCTTTCGTCCACCACACACACACCCTCCACCATCCCTTCCCTTATCTCTCCTCCAACGGTTTTCACATCCAAGCCTCGTTCCCACGCCATCTTATCTTCCATATAAGCTTCTGCAACTGCAGGTAACGGGCTCGATGCAGCAGCTGCTTCCTGCTCTCCCTTTCCTGCCTCTTGCCCTACCCTCTGTGTATCCTCATCGATTATGCTTGGCCCTAGGCCCCCGCGCTGCCCTGCTACAGGAATGCTGCTGGCAGCACCCCTCCCACCCGCAGCAAGCGCATTAGCCGCAGCAGTAACATCAGCTGCCACTTTTGCCGCCTCTTTTGCCACATTCATCACTCCCTCTTCGTTCACCCCTCCAACCCCAAAAGGTGGTGCGTTTCCTGTTGCTGCTGCTGACGGAGCTGCTGCTGAGGCCGGCGGTGGCACAACGCGTGTAACTGAAGGGGAAACGCTTCGGGTTGCAGCTGATGGTATTGCTGCAGCTGATGGTGGTGCTGCAGCTGATGGTGCTGCTGCTGCTGATGGTGGTGCTGCTGCTGATGGTGCTGCTGCTGCTGATGGTGCTGCTGCTGCTGATGGTGGCGGTGGCACTGATCCAGTTACTGCTTCTGGAACAGCTGTGACTGACAGCAATTCGTCATCCGCTGCCACCCCTCTCACGAACACAGCCTTTCTCCCTTGCCACCCTGCTGCCCTAGACTCTGCTGCCCTAGACTCTGCTGCCCTAGACTCTGCTGCCCTAGACTCTGCTGCCCTAGACTCTGCTTCCCTAGACTCTGCTTCCCTAGACTCTGCTTCCCTAGACTCTGCTTCCCCCTCTATCTTCTGCTCTTGCACCATCCTTGCTGCCCCCACCTCCGTTTTCCCTCCCATCTCTGACATTTCCCCCACACCCCTCACTTCCTGTACCACCCTAACCTCCTCCACCTCTGTAATCGCCTCCCCATGTGTTACTCCTTCCACCTCCGGTTTCTCCCCCACGCCCCTCACTTCCTGTACCGCCCTAACCTCCTCCACCTCTGAGTCCTCTTCTCCCTTCACCACATCTACCTTCTCGTCGATCCCTGATCCGTTTCTCACCTCTCTTCTCTCCCTCACCTCCACCTCCTCATCCTCCTCCCCTTTCACCACACCCAGCACCACTTTAATACTTTCCCCCTCTCCTCCTCCCCTCTCCTCCCCCACCCACTCATCCACCTCCACCCCGACAGAAGCAGCCTCGTGAACTGCCACGCCTCCCACCGGCACACTTGCTGCACCGTGTCTGTTAACCCTAGAACTTTTAGAGCGGTACCACCGCGCCCGGTGCGCTTTCTTGCGACGAGACTTGCTCGGCCTGCTAGACCCGCTCGCCTTGTGCGACCTGTGCGACTTGGCACGGTGGCTGCTTCCGCCCCCCCCGTCTCCTGCTGCTGCTTTCCTCTTGTGGGAGACGGATGGCAGAGACCCTGCTACAGCCGCAGCAGCACCGGCTGTAGCCTCAGAAGCAAGCGCAGCCGCAGCAGCAGCGGCTCGCTTGGTTTGAAGCAGGGAGAGCGCGGAGGGGGTGCAGGGCCATGCCATGGCAGTGGCATGGGAGGGGAGGGAGGCAGAGGGAGGGTAGGAGAGGCGAACCGAGAGATGGCTGGAGGGGTGGGGAGGGGTGGGAATGGGGAAGAGGGTGATGGAGAAGGTTGACACGAATGCATGTGGTTGATTTGATCTGCGGTGCAAGAGGGCACGTTGCTATGATGGACTGCATCTGGCGCTTACACCACATGCATATGTACGGCAAAAGGATTTGGCGAATGGTTTTGGCGAATGGCCTTTTGGCGAATGCTTTTGGCGAACAGTTTTTGGCGAATGGTTTTTGGGGAATGGTTATGGTGAATGGATTTGGTGAATGGTTTTGGCGAATGGTTTTGGCGAAATAGGTTTGGTGAATGGTTTTGGCAAATGGTTTCAGTTAGCTAGACGCCAGACCAGTTAGCTGGACGCCGGGGCAAGTTAGCTGGACGCCGGGCAGGTTAGCTGGACGCCAGGCAAGTTAGCTGGACACCAGGCAAGTTAGCTGGACGCCAGATAGATTAGCTGGACACCAGGCCGGTTAGCTGGACGCGAGGCAAGTTAGCTGGGCACAAGGCAAGTTAGCTGGACGCCAGGCCAGTTAGCTGGACGCAAGGCAAGTTAGCTGGACGCCAGGCCAGTTAGCTGGAAGCCAGGCCAGTTAGCTGGACGCAGGCAAGTTAGCCGTACGCCAGGCAAGTTAGCTGGAAGCCAGGCCAGTTAGGCGGCGGACGCCAGCCAAGTTAGCTAGACGCCACGCAAGATTGCTGGACGCCAGGCGAGATTGTTGGACGCCAGGCAAGATAGCTGGACGCCAGGCAAGATTGCTTGACGCCGGACTGTGGCACCGGGCTGTAACAATTGCTGTAGCACCGGGCTGTAGCGTCGGGCTGTGGCACCAGGCTGTGGCACTGGACTGTGGCACTGGGCTGTAGCATCGGGCTGTAGCACTGGGCTGAATGGTTTTGGCGAATGCTTTCGGCGAATGAGTTTTGGCGAATGAGTTTTTGGCGAATGGGTTTTGGCGAATGCTTTCGGCGAATGAGTTTTGGCGAATGAGTTTTGGCGAATGGGTTTTGGCGAATGGTTTTGGCGAAAGGTTTTGGCGAATGAGTTTTAGCGAATGGTTTTGGAGAATGGTTGTGCCAAATGGTTTTGGCGAATGGCTTTGGCGAATGGATTTGACGAATGGTTTTGGCGAAAGGTTATGGCGAATGAGTTCTGGGGTATGGTTTTGACGAATGGTTTGGGCGAAAGGTTTGGGCGAAAGGTTTTGGCGAATGCGTTTGGCAAATGGTTTTGGTGAATGAGTTTTGGCGAATGGTTTTGGTGAAAGGCTTTGGCGAGAGGTTTTGGCGAATGACTTTTGGCAAATGAGTTTTGGCGAATGGTTTTGACGAATGGTTTTGGCTGAAGGTTTTGGCGAATGAGTTTTGGGGAATGGTTTTGGCGAAAGGTTTTGGCGAATGGTTTTGGCGAATGGTTATGGCGAATGGTTTTGGCGAATGGTTTTGGCGAACGGTGCGAACGGTTTCGGCGAATGGTTTTGGCGAAAGATCTTGGCGATTGGTTTTGGCAATTGGTTTAGGCGAATGGTTTGGACGAAAGGTTTTCGCGAAAGATTTTTGGCAAATGGTTTGGGCGAAAGGCTTTGGCGAAAGGTTTTGGCAAATGGTTTTGGCGAATGAGTTTGGCGAATGAGTTTTGGCAAATGGTTTTGGCAAATAAAATGGCGAATGGTTTTTGCGAATGGATTTGGTGAAAGGTTTGGCAAATGAGTTATGGCTAGACATGGTTAAATCGCATCGCATCGCATTATATCGCATTTTGCAATAGCGATTTTTATTTTTATTTTAAGAATATCGCGGCGATGCGATGCACTAATATCGCGCGATATTTGCGATATCGCGTTTTTATCGAGCTTTTTTTTGCGCGATAAAATGCGATATGCGATTTAAAAAAATCGCGTGCAATACTTCTGCGTATCACGCGCCTATGTTGCAAAAAACGCGGGAGCCGGGGGGGCAAACGCCAGGAAAACGCTACGTTGGGCAGGGCGCTTTAGACTAGAGACTGCTGTCTAGGTCATATCGTAGCAATGAAGTAGTGCTAACAGTGCAGCAGGGAGCGCTGAGGAGCGCCTAGGTCACCAGATCTGTACGATTGACCTGTTTCTGGTGAGTAGAAGTATGTGAGGAGTGGTGGTTGGGTTTCCTAGATGAGATGGGGTGGAGAGTGGTTGAAGCAATTTTAGGTGTTTGGTTGGCATTGAACCTTCATTAGATTTCACGATGTTCCTGGTTGGATTCGCCACATCGCGAACTGACGCGCAACTTTTTCGTTTTTTTTTTTCGTCGAGCTGCCCCGAAATAAAAAAACCTGAGCGTTTACGTTTTTCTAGCGTTTTGCGTTTAAACGCCACCGTTTGAACGTAAAACGCTCGCCTGGCAGAGCGTTTTGCGCAACATAGTCGCGGCGCACGAAATTGACAGATTTGGGGGTGGGGGAAACGAAGCCCAAAAAGGGCTGCAACAAATTCTCTTTGAGAGAACCCCCACCCCAACACATTCCCACCTCATTTCCCACCACCACCTCACTCCCATTCCCAGCTAGCATGCAAACACAAATATGCAAACCCTTGGAACTCCCTTAGCCACCTAGCCACACCTCCACTCCCGCATTCCCTAGCATAGGTACCTCCCAGTTAGTTACCTATCCAAATTGCTACTGTAGTTTACTTTGACTGAAATTTAGCCCTGGTGATGCGATATCTTATCGCATCGCGCGATATATCGCACTCTATAGTGCGATATTTGAAAATATCGCACCCAAAACGCGATATGCGATTTCGGGTTTTTTCAAATCGCATCGCCGCGATATAATGCGCGATAAGTCAAAATGCGATGCGATATCGCATCGCATCGCATTTTGACCATGTCTAGTTAAGGCGAATGGTTTTGGCGAATGGTTTTGGCGATTGGTTTTGGCGAATGGTTTGGGTGAAAGATTTGGGCGAAAGGTTTTGGCGAATGGTTTTAGCAAATGGTTTTGACGAATGGTTTTGGCGAATGGTTTTGGCAAAAAAAATTGTGAATGCTTTTAACGAATGGTTTTGGCAAATGGTTCTAGCGAATGGTTAAGGCGAATGGTTTTGGCGAATGGTTTGGCGAACGGTTTGGCGAATGGTTTTGGCGAATGGTTTTGGTGAATGGTTTTGTCGAATGGTTTTGGCGAATGAGTTCTGTCGAATGGTTTTGGCGAATGTGTTTTGGCGAATGCTTTTGGCGAATGCTTTTGGCGATTGGTTTTCGCAAATGGTTTGGGCGAAAGGTTTTGACGAAAGGTTTTGGCGACTGGTTTTGGAGATTGGTTTTGGCGAATGGCTGGCGAAAGGTTTTGGCAAATGGTTCTGGCGAATGGTTTTGGAAAACGGTTTTGGCGAATGAGTTTTGGCGAAGAGTTTTGGCGAATGGTTTTGGCCAATGGTTTGGGCAAATGGTTTTGGCGAATGGTTTTGGTGAATGGTTTTGGCGAAAGGTTTTGGCGAATGAGTTTTGGCGAATGGTTTGGGCGAATGGTTCCAACGGGAAGGAGTTCCAAGTAGAGGTGCATGCATGAATGTGTGTGTGTGTGCATGCGGGGCTGTGGTAGAGCTGCACCACACACAGATAGGCTCGATTGCATAGGCTCTTACCAGGAAGCAGCAACCAGCGTGTGTGCGCATGTGCGCGTGTGTGTGCGTGTGTGTGCGTGTGTGTGCATGTGTGTGCATGTGTGTGCATGTGTGTGTGGGTGTGTGTGCGTGTGTGCGCATGCGTGCAGGGTCGTGGTACAGCTAAACCATGTGTGTGCTGTAGGCATGAGCACGGGGCGAGGCGAGGATTCCTTGACCCGAGGATCTCATCCTCGCGCCATAGCCGGGGCGGGTCGAGGAATCCTCGCCGAGGATTTTTCTTGAAATTCCCCCCTCGACCCCTGGGTTTTGGGGTTGAGGATTGAAATCCTCGCCTCGAGGATTAATTCCTTGACCCGGGGCGAGGATTCCTTGACCTGGGCGGCTGGGGGTTTAGGGGGGGGGGGAATGGGAACATGTGCGGGAAGAATGAGCCTTATCCAGGTTTTCCTCGCGAGGATACAAAATCCTCGCCCATTTGCCTCGAGGAAAAGTCGAGGCCTCAAATCCTCGCCGGGGCGGGGCGAGGATTCCTCGCGATGATTTTTCCCAGAAATCCTGCCTCGACCCCCGGAATTTCGAGGCGAGGAAATCCTCGCCTCGTTGCTCATGCCTAGTGTGCTGCACTACAAGTGGCAGTCACCTTTGCCACACACCAGAAACGGATAACATACCAGGAGTCACCTTTGCCACACACAAGTGCTCGCCACATTACCACAAACGGCAACGTACCAGGGCAGCAACGAAGTAGAGATGCGCGCATGTGTGCGGGGTCGTGGTAGAGCTGAGCCAGGGGCTTGCTGTGGACCTCGCAGGCCTGCTCCAACTGTTTAAGGAAAGGATAGGGGGTTGAAGGAAAGTGCACTGCGTGTCTCGTGACATCTCTCATGCGTGTCTCGTGAGCCTGCTCCAACTGTTAAGGGAAGTAGAGGGTGATGCAGGGGGCAGTGCAGGGGATGGGGATGCGAGTGTGCTGCGGCGATGATGAGTGTCTTGTGCTGTCTCTTTTGCGGGGTATGGCTTAGTCAGGTAAGTCTAGTTATCGCGCATTGTGCTACCAGCAGGCGTGCTCAACAGTTGGGGGCGCAAACGCACACATATGAGGACGCTTGCACACACGAGTGTGATGGGTATTGCACACACATGAGTGTGATGGGTATTGCACACACATACGAGTGTGATGGGTATTGCACACACATGAGTGTGACAGGTATTTCACTCACTCACTCACTCACAGGTATTGCACACACACACGAGTGTGATGGGTATTGAACACACACGAGTGTGATGGGTATTGCACACACATGAGTGTGATGGGTATTGCACACACATAAGTGTGATGGGTATTGCATACACATGAGTGTGATGGGTATTGCACACACATACGAGTGTGATGGGTATTGCACACACATGAGTGTGATGGGTATTGCACACACATACGAGTGTGATGGGTATTGCACACACATGAGTGTGATGGGTATTGCACACACACATGAGTGTGATGGGTATTGCACACACACATGAGTGTGATGGGTATTGCACACACACATGAGTGTGATGGGTATTGCACACACACATGAGTGTGGCAGGTATTTCACTCACTCCCAACTCCCCACCCCCAATGGCTCACCCCCAGCACCCACCACCCCCAATGGCTCACTCCCAGCTCCCCAACCCCAATGGCTCACCTGCCCCCTTCGTGAGACGAAGCAGCTAAGCACACGGGCCAGATGAGACGCGAAGAGCTGCAGGTCGGGGATGGGGGATGGGGGATGCGGATGCAGGGGGGGGCAGGACAAGTTAAAACCACTAGAGGAAGGAAAGGAAGGAGTAGGAGGAAAGAGGAGACAATACATTTTCAAGTTACCTACAGCCATGTGAAACCCATGCACGACAAAGTGCAGCTCAGAAATGAGATGACTTTTGAGTCTTCTCAAAAGAGAAGCGTCATATTTTGAGTCGACTCAAAAGTCAAGAGTCCTTTGAGTCGACTAAAAAATCCTCCTTAGAACCATTTGAACGCCATGAGCAACCAAGTGCAGCTCAGAAACTAAGCACACCGACCTGAGGCTGACGTGGCAGAAACTCCTGCTCCAACTGGCTGATAGGGAGAAAAGGAGGCACGCTAGACTCCACCAATCTCAGCCCGCCACGTGTCGCATCATAAAGTCCCCTGCGCGTCTCTCTGTCTTCCTCTTGCTGTTTCCCCTCGGCGCTTTCTAAGTGAGCAATGCGCTTTCCTCGATGCTGTGGTTGGATGTGATCCAGACAGGTGTGCTCTGGGGGGTGTACTCTGGGGGGGGTTCTGGGGGGTGTGCTCCTGGTGCAAGGAGCAGAAGAAGCTCTCCTTAGGCGTCCCTGTCACACGCACACGCAGCATGAGGGGCAGGGGCACAGCACACGAAGGAGCGTCATGATGGCTGTTTCAAAGGGTGTGCTCTTGGAGCTGGTGCAAGGTGCAGAGGAGGCGCTCTCTGGGTGCTCGTACTGACCTTGGAAGGCGGGTGTCAACGCGCAGCAGCACATGATCCCTGTCCGCCAGAAGCATGGCCAGCCCTTCACCTTTGAACCCAAATCCCCTCCCAGTGTGCATCACAACCTCTCCCCCTCCCCTCCACCCGAATCTCCGCCTCCTTTCCCTTCCTCTGCCCTTTCCTCTGCCCTTACCTCTGCCCTTTCCTCTGCCCTTTCCTCTGCCCTTTCCTCTGCCCTTTCCTCTGCCCTTTCCTCTGCCCTTTCATCTGCCGCACCCCTTTCATCTTGTCCTCCCTTTCGCCCTCTCCTTCCTCCTCTTCTGCTTTCACTTCAGTAGTCGCCACAGCAGCAGCAGCAGCAGCACCTTCTGCTGCTGCTGCTATTGCTGTTGCTGCTGCTGCCACTGCTGTAGGTCGTGCGGCTGCACGCACACAAGTCTCTGCTGCTGCTTCCATCCTCACTTGCGCTCCCGCCTTCACTCTCCCCCCACACCTCTCTCCAGCCTTTCTCCATCCCCCCTCCGCCTTCTCTCCACTTTCCCCGCTCTTCCCCTGCAACCATCCCTCTCTCCTCTTTTTCAACCGTTTTACCCCCTTCGCGCTCTCTTCCTCTGTCACTTCCATTTGCTTTTGAGTCAACTCAAAAACATCCATATTCCTCCCAACATCTTCAATCCGCTCCTCTGCCCATCCCTCTGCCACCACTCCTCTCTCCACCTCCCTCAACTCCCCTCCACCACCACCCCTCGCCTTCCCTCCTCTCCCCATGTATACCTTCACACATACCACCCCCATCGCCTCACCATCTGCCTCCTTCTCGCCACTCCCATCGCCTGTCCTCTCATCCCACTCCACATCCCTCTCTGATCTCTCCAGTCTGCTTCCCCTTTCGTCCACCTCAGCACCAGCAGTGCTGACATCAGTACCAGCAGTGCCAACATCAGCAACAGCAGTGTCCACATCAGCATCAGCAATGTCCACATCAGCAACAGCCAGTTCCACATCAGCAACAACAAGTGCAGTCTCCATGAAGCCCCTAGCAGCAGCCATCAGCCAATCAGAGCCCTCCACAACCCCTCCCGTCCAATCCTCCCCAGCATTTGCGCCAGTGTTAGGCACTGAACTATCCTTAGAACCAGAACCAGCCACCAAGGCACCAACCCCAGAAGCAGCAGCAGCAGCAGGAACACCAGCAGCAGGGGCTTCGACAGCAGCACCCAATGAACCAGTTACTTCTCCCCTTCTCTCCCTTTCTCCCACCCCACTCTCCCCTGCTCTGCCCACAACAACCTTTCCTTCGCCTTCTCCCCCAATCTGCCCTTCCTCCCTCCCCTCACCCCGCAGTGCAGGCACCCCCTCACCTCTTCCCCGATCATCTCCTTTGACAACGTCTTTGGACATGCCTCCATCTGCTGTTTCTTCTCCCACCAATTTTTCCCCACCCTCTACTCCGCTGCCCACACCCAACTCCCTTCCCCTCCCCTCAGCACGCAGTGTGCCATTCCCCGCACCACGTGCCATATCACCTCCTTTAACAACACCTTCGGCAGTACCCCCACCAGAATTCTCAGCTGCTTTGTTGGCGGTACCCTCAGCGCCACCAATCTCTGCTGCACCCTCAGTTGCTTTCTCCGCCGCCAATCTGGCAGTGCCCTCCTCCCCCTCAGCAGCATTCCCAGTGTCGCCTGCAGCAGCGGTGCGAGCTGCCGTGTTGGCAGTTCCCTCAGCACCTATCTCTCCTGGTCCCACCACTGCAACCTCCACCGCTCCTCTGGCAGCGCCCTCAGGCTCAGCTGCATCTCCAGCACGGCCTGCAGCAGCAGTGTGATATGCTACTCTGGCGGTACCCTCAGCACCAACCTCTGTCGCACCCTCAGCTGCCCCTCTGCCAGTGCCCTCCGCACCCTCAGCTGCATCTCCAGCACCGCCTGCAGCAGCAGTGTGGCGGGGGCAGGCCGTCTGGCGGTGAAGAGGGGCGAGGCGGGAGAGGAGGGAGGACCACTGACGAGAAAACCACACAGCGGGTGATGCTGCTGCTGATGCTGATGCTTCTGATGGTGCAGCCGACAGTAATTCTTGCTGCTCCTGCTGCTGCTGCTGCTGCTGCTGCTGCTGCTGTATCTCCTGCTGCTGCTGCTACTGTTGCTGGTTCGTCTAGTGGTGGTGGTGGTGCTGCTGCCGCTGTGGCGGGCAGCATGTCACAATGCTGTGCATGCTGCTCGAACTCGCCCTGCAGCCGACCCGGGTCATGAATGCATGCCTGCATGCCACAGAAAGGGGTGTCAACATGCCATGCCATGGAAGGGGGTGTCAACATACCATGCCATGGAGGGGGGTGTCATCATACCATGCCATGCGGTGCCATGCCAAGCAATGTTAGGGTATGCGGGTCATGCCATGCCATAGCATGCCATAGCATGGCAGAAGTTGCGCTCAGGCATCCCAGGTCATGCCACATCGATGATGCCACATTATGCCATGAAGAACCAGCCACACAGGCGAGTTTGCTTGGTGGGGAAGCATAAGAGATGCGGGTAGGAGCATGAGAAGAACCAAAGGACAAGAGAGCGAGCGGGGAGAGGGAGGGGGAGGAAGGAAGGTCAAGCTCGCCCCAGCATTTCCTGGCGCAGCCTCACAAGCCACAGCAAGGGATTGCGGGGGGAGGGGGAGGGGCAGATTGGGCGGGGAGGGGGAGGGGGCGAGCTCACCCCAGCATTCTCTGGCGCAGCCTCACGTGTCTCTGTTGCAGCGCTGCCACTGCCGTGGGATTGACACATGCAGCGCAGATGGGATGTGAGAAATGGGGAGGGGAGGGTCAGTGGGTTTGCCCAAGCGTAAGACGGACTTTCAACGTGCTGTGTAAATCTGTCTATGTGCATGGATCTAACCATCAAATCGACCATTGATGCAATGAGCTCGATGGCAGGGTGTGCCAGAGGTCACTCGTCTCACTTACGCCGCCACGCCACCTCCGCCAGCCCAGTCGTTTACGCGAAAGTGTGTGACATAATAAAACCAAGGTGACTTATAAGTCCACTCAAATGTGTGTGCCAGACAGAGAGGCAGGTCCCTCGGTCGCACTTACTCCGCCACTCCAGCTCCTCCAGCGCACCCGTTCCAAAGCTGCCAGAAAACACCTTCTCCTCCTCTTCCCCTTCCCCCTCCCCCTCCCCCCTCCCCCTCCCCCCGCTGCTCCCCCTCCTCCTCTGCCCTTCCTCTTCCTCCCTTCAGGTCGACTGTGAGCCCCAGCTAACATGCGCCTCTCCTTCTCAGCCGGCTCCACAGTCCCTTAACTCTCTAAACCGCCCATCAGGCCGCCTCCTACATCTCTCGCCGCGCTTCTGCTGGCCGCACAGCTGGGATCTCCGCCTGTAGCCAACCCGTTATGGGCCAACCCACTGGCGGTATCACTCCCTCAGGCAAACCGCCTGAAACCGCAGTCGTCACGAGCCTTCCTCGCAAGTTCCCCCGCCCTTCCCGACCTAATAGTGGACCGTGTGATCCGCCGCCCGCCCGCCCACCCCTGCGGCGACGCCAACGCGCTGCTGGCAGGAGTTCCAGCGGCAGGGGGTTCCAGCAGCAGGGGCAGCAGTGCCTTCTCCTGCAACGGCGGACAGAAGGGGTTCCAACAGCGGGACCTGCGACTCCTGACCCCGCTAATGCCGCCGCCATCCCCGCTAAAGCGCGTCTGCTGCGGCTGTTATGGTCATCCTAGGAGACCGCGGGGGAGATGGGAGCGGCTCTCGCGGCGCTTACCCCGGCGCCATGCGCGCTCCTGGCGGAGTGCTCGCTCGCAGCGGAGCTGGCGCGAGAGCTGGCGGAGTGCGCGATCCTAGACTTGGATCGCGCGGGGATGGGCGCGGCGGACTGAGCGGCTCCCGCGCCGTCGAGCGCAGGGACGTTGAAGCGCCTCTTCGGAGCCGCGGACTCAAACGCGTCGTCGAAAGCAACGCGCTTCAACTCGCGGCCGCGGCTGCTGCGCCGCGTGCCGTCCATGCTATACGCGATACTACCTGCTTCGCTACCGATGTTTCGCTCGATATAGCGCCAGCGTGTAATGGGATGCGGTGACTTCAACGCCTCGGTCGTGGCGACGGGGACGATTTCGAGGTGGAATCGTTAGGGAGGAACGGCATGACACGCGAGGAATTAGGGCTACTAACGGCACAATGACTGAGTAAATGTGACACTAAGAGGATTTAGTTAGAAAGAGCCCTGAAGTTAGAACTTTGAGATGAGTTGAAAACGGTGTTGTGTGATGCAGGCTACGAAGGTGTGATGCAGCGCGGTGGAGGTTGCGAACGCGGGTAAGAATTTGAGGGAAAGCGCTCGACAAATCCTGCAGACCCAAATGAGGGTTGCGCTTCGCCTGAGCTGAGTTGCCCGAGTGCTCAAGTGTAGAAGTGGATAAATTCAATCCAATCACTTTACAACTATAATATAAAACTCGCTACAAGTCTTACAATAACGAACACACTTGCACCCACGCCAAGTTCCGTTAACATACGGAACCAGAAGCTCAATGCAATAAGCTGCATTATGCAGCTGGATAGATTTAAAACGACTATTGTAGCAAAAAAATAAGTAAACCCTGGCACGATAGATGTCGCAATACAATAGGGCGTGTGTGTGGGCCCTAACCATTTGCCGGGCAAGTATATCCCAGGGATTTTAACCTCTCTCTTGTGAGCTTTCCAGCCTCTGTCTTGCCTCTGTGCCTTTCCCCCTGCATACTCGCTCTGCGTCAGCTTTACTTCCTTCTACCTCTCCCAGCATCGTTCACATCCTCACTCAACAAGTCCTAGAGTCAGTAATCAGAGCTCCCCTTACTCGCACCTACCACTAGGACTGCCATCCCAATCTATTGCACCTCTCTGACCTTACACCAGCAGCAAGGCCTCTCCCTGTTCTGATCCGCTTCACCCTACTCGCTAATTACCCATCCCTCGTTCGCCATTTCATCTGGTGAGCAGCCATACCTTACCAGAACACCCCAAAGCACACCGGCAGGAGAATCCGAACCATAAGGGGTTCAATCAACCTTCCTCTTCCTGCCCTTTCACCATAAATGAAGGCCTGAATGCCCCTTGTACCGTACCACCCCTGCAGAAGGGCGGTTGAAACTTGAAACTGATCTGTCCCTTCTACCTGGAGAGACCAGCCCTCCTCCGCCTTTCTCTTCCCTCGCCCTTCACTCCACTGAACCTTGAGCTGGGGTGTTAGAAAAAACCCCCATCTGTTCGCCCCCCATTCTCGATACTCTGCGGGTATCCGATCAGTCCTCTCGTTCAAAACCTTTACTCAACATGTCATAACTACACTTGGGCTGTTAACCCCCCCCCCCCCCCAAACAACCCTCTTACCTCTACACTTGGGGCTGTTAACCCCCCCCCCCCCCCCCCAAACAACCCTCTTACCTCTATAGTTGCGATCTGACCCCCCCCACCCGTCTCAATGCCCTCTATAGTTGGGGCGTAAAACCCCTTCACCCGTCTCACTCACCTCTACAGTTGGGGTCAGTCCCCCCCTCACCCATCCCACAGTGGAAGGGATCAAGCAATGAGCCACATGATGGGCTTACTGCATACTGCATACGGCATACTACACATGATGGGCTTACTGCATCAGGCAACACGTGGGGCATCATCTTTGCTGCCGGTTATGTGGAGCTCTAGGGTCAACCCTTCCCTTCCACTCACCCACCGTAGGGACGAAGAAGGGGGTGAAAACCCATGGAAGCACGAGGGCAAGACACAGGAGGAGGGCTGAAACTCCCAAGGAAAGGCTATTGAGAGGCAAGAGAGGGGGTTTGAAACCCCCAGGCTAAGGCGAACCGAATGAAAGAAGGGGGGGGTCCCTCTGCCCCTTGCTCGCCTCAACCTGAGGGCTTCAAACCCCTCTACCCCTCTGCCCCTCGCATGCCTTACCCTGGGAGGTCAAGCCCCTCTCCCCAGCCTTGCTATCCTATCACCATGGGGGTTTCACCACCCCTCCCCTTCGCTGCTCACTCAAATCATCCTCTGCCCTTCACTCAACTCACCCAGGGGGGTTTCAGCACCCCCCCCTCCCCCCCTCTCACTCAAGTTACAGTGGTTGGTTGCAGAGATGCCTCCATTGCTCATCACTCTACTCACCCCAGGGGGTTTCGGCCCCCCCATTCCCCTCTCCCCCTCACTCAACTTACAGTGGTTGTTGCAGACTCCTCCTTAGCCCCTCGCTCAACTTACCCCGGGGAGTTTCAGCCCCCCTTCTTCTCCCCTCTCACTCAACTCACAGACGCCTCCTTTGCCATTACTCAACAAACCCCGGGGAGTAGACCCCCTTCCCCATTCCCTCTCTCCCCCTCCCCTCAACCTTGTCATCTCTATAGTTGGGGTCTGAACCCCCCTCACTCGTTTCGCCTCAACACTTGAGGTCTGAACCCCCCACACCCATTTGGAGTCTGAAACCCCCTCACCCATGTCACCTTTGTAGTTGGGTTCTGAACCCTCCCTGAACCCCTCGCACTCACCTTTGTAGTTGGGTTCTGAACCCCCTAACCCCTCGCACTCACCTTTGTAGTTGGGTTCTGAACCCCCCTAACCCCTCGCACTCACCTTTGTAGTTGGGTTCTGAACCCCCCTGACCCCTCGCACTCACCTTTGTAGTTGGGTTCTGAACCCCCCTAACCCCTCGCACTCACCTTTGTAGTTGGGTTCTGAACCCCCCTAACCCCTCGCACTCACCTTTGTAGTTGGGTTCTGAACCCCCTAACCCCTCGCACTCACCTTTGTAGTTGGGTTCTGAACCCCCCTAACCCCTCGCACTCACCTTTGTAGTTGGGTTCTGAACCCCCCTAACCCCTCGCACTCACCTTTGTAGTTGGGTTCTGAACCCCTA